TTTCATTAATTCATAATTATTAGTTTGTTAGTAATACTTCCCAGTTGTCGATGCATTTCTAACCCGTTAATCAAGAATGGCTTTTGTTAATACAATTTTCATATTTTACTCATACTAAATAATGACCATAGTTGAAAAGAAATAAATCTAAAATAAAGTAATTCAATTTCAAGCACAGCATGGAAATACAAACATAGTAATCTAAAATAAAACCATTTCTAACCATCAATCATTTATATCTTTATTATTAGACAGTAAAATAAACAAAAATTAAGTTTCGCTGTTTTTATTTCTGATTATAAATAAAGTTATTTCCTAGTTTCTAGAATATTTATTATGATTTCATCAGAAATTTTTTTCGAAACATTAAAATTATCGAAAATAAAATGTCAATATAGCACTGGAGAATATATAGAAATTATATGTTGTTAGGAAAATGTTTTGTACCAATTCAAAATTTTGCTTAAAAGTTATACTGTGCATAAATATTCCGAAATACTCCTAGTTTTTATTAAAAATAACAACCTTAATTTTGATTTTGATTTAAACTAATCCCGTAAGGTTTTCGTTATTTGGAATCTAATAAAGCGTATTTTTAAATGTATTTCCATGAGTGTATATAGGGTGTTTCACATCGACTACCCTTAATGAATATTTTTAAAGTTCATGCAATTAAAGACTTCAAAAAATAAGCACAATAAGGACCTCATTTCAATATTTAAACTAAAAAATCTAACGGGCCAGAACACATCAAAAACAATTTGATTGCCTGGTGAAACTTTGAGGGTTAACTTTTAAAACTTATCTTCCGACAAACTAACAGGTTTTGATGTTTTCAGACCTGACTTACTCAGTCATGATTCGTCTAATTTCAATGGATTAGTTGTTTTTTCCCTTCTTTTCTACGTATTAATTTGAGTATACTAACTTGTATACTTTTTGACATTTTTAACAAAGTATCCAAAATTATATTTTAAAAATTATCACTTAGGTTATACTGTATAGCTTAAATAAAATATGTATATAGTAACAAATGAATATATTTAATAAATTATACATATACAGCTGAAAACAATGATATTTTAGTAGAATAAAAGCTACATTGGAAATATGATAACAATTAAATGATTCAAACTTTCATACATATTTTAGTTTTAAATAATTTTCATGAACAACAAACACATTCGTGACTGCAATCAATGTTTATAATTAAAAAAAATATTTCTCAACAGAAAACGTTTTTGCAAGTTGTATTTATTAGTATTTTCGTTTTCAGTCATTTTTCATAAACACATTTGTGACAGTAACGAAAATTTTGAATTCAAAATAATCTTTTGAAACATGAAATTTTTTGTTAACTTGAAGAAAGAACTTAAATTTTAAATAACCCCTGAGAAATGAATTTTTATACAGAATAAGAGATTATTGGGAAAATTAAAAAAAAATAATTATAGGACTAATTAAACTTTTAGTTATAATTTGAGAAAATTAATAAAATCTTTTGGGTTGGTATCTGGGAGCACGACTTTTTTGGTGTTTTAATACTATTTAAAGAAATTGCACAAATATTTATCATAAAATTCTAAAAATACATCAAATTTATTTTTAGAGGAAAACAGTCAAAATTCTTATGAGAAATCGGGCAATTAATTTCTAATTCCCTTAATGGAAAAAAAAAAAACTTTTATTTTAATGGTCCTTTCTAATTTTCCTTTTGAAAATTATTTTTTCCTGTTTATGTATTAATAATATAAAACATGTCAAATTTTTTCTTTGTAAATATCAAATTGTTTTTGACTACACAGTTGTTGCCACTACTGCTAAGTTTACAGGGTGTTCGGTAATCACAGCCTATAGCCCGCATTTTTAGAATTTTTGTAAAAAAAGGAAAAAAATAACAGCAGAATATCTACATATTGGAGGTCTAAATTTAATATTTAATCTTGAAAAAATTCGAAACATTATTAAAATTTGACGAAGTATTAACGAGGGAAGCGTGATTGAAAACATCAAAACCTGCTTAATTGTCGAATGAGGCTTAGAAAAGCTGGATAACTCCACATTTCAACCACCCTACCGGTTTTGATTCTAAATATCATGCTTTCTTCAAAAATGCTTCCTCGCTTAAACATTAATTTTGGACTTTCAATGTACATAGTTTCAATTTTGTCAAGAACTCTAAAAATGTATATTAAGGGTTGTAATTACAAGACATCCTGTATGTAATTTTCTCACTTATTTAATTTGCAAACAATTTTCCAACTTCTAGATATGAACAATAATAATTTTCTATTTAAACTAATTTGATAGAAAAAACTTCTAAGCTAAAAAGTATAGGTATTCAGATATTTAATTTATACATTATTTTTGATGGACTGAAAAATAAGCCAAAATGAAATAACTTTTACTACATTCCGTTGTAAGTTTAGAAATGACGATTGCTGTATAGGATTTAAGTAATCATTCGCAACCGCATATAGTTCCATTTTATTTTGTTATCAAATTATACAAATATGCTTTCAAAACAATATAGAAGCTTTTAAAAATTGAATTTAATTCGTGCTATCTTTTAAGATATATATCATAGAATTATTGAAAAAAAGTTTATAGTTTCATAGTCATATGGGAATTGACTGCACATTTCGATAAATAAGGAAAGCATTCGTTCTTGAAAACGAAACAACTGCATGATGTTGCAAAAACATTGGATTTGATTGGACCACTAAAAATAGCGCGTCTTATGCTGACATGCCCTTAACAAATTAAATGAGATTTAAAATACTTACTTTTGTTTCGCTGTAGAAGAAAATCGTCAGCAAGAAACAATCTTTAAATGCTAACAGAAAGGCGTGTATATTTGTTACGATTTTTATTTAATTCTTATTACTTGTTAATTGATTATTCAATAAGTTTTATTTTCCTCATTTATCATGATTAACAAAGCAAGCAAAAAGAAGACTGTGCAACGTCGTTTCAAGAGTTGATATTTGTTCGCGGTGGGAGCTTGGCATCAATTTGGCGTGCACTTAAATGCAAACAGGCTCTCTCCATAGGGATAATGTTTTTTTCTTAACTTGCAACAGAATATAGTACTCGATTAATGAACGGTGTAGAGATTCTTCTTTATTTCCTGACCATCCTAAAAGATCAGATGACCATTAGGAAGATTCCCTCTTCGGATCAATTTTGTGACAAATAGACTAGAATTATAATTTTTTTTTAATCAAGTACGTGAGTATAAAAAGTTCTGAAAAAACAAAGTGATCTAATTTTTTTAATGTATTTTAAAATATTCTTAAAAATTTTACCATTTCTTTCCCAAACATATTAAGAATACAAGGTTGGTGTGAGAAATTTGCATAAAAATCGGCTTTATTTAATGACCTAAAAAACGTCTAGAAATCAATTTAACGTCAAAATAAACGTTGAAAATTTTGACATTTTGTCCCCTTAAAAATTTAATAGTTTTTGAATGTAATTTTTAAAAAAATGAAAGATTGCTTATTCGGTTTGAATGCCGAACATTTAAATTGTATTAATATCCCTCATTTAAAATGCGCATATAAAAATAACTAGGTTTAGATCTTGCATTAATAAATATTAGTTAAAAGCGATTGGAAGCACTCTTTTTTAAACAAAAAATGGGGAAATGCGTTTAACAAAATTTAACAGGGAAATAGTTATATATAGTTTGGAGCTATTTGCATTCAACGTTTACAAGTTAATATTTTCTTAAAACTTTACAATATTAATACTTATAGTTTGATTTATCTGTAATGCAGCTGGAAGGTACTGGACTCGAATTTTATTTTCTGTCAGCAAGATGATGCAAATGCTTTCATTGGTTTTGCACTTGCACCCAACTCCACATTTTAGTAATAATTAATGTCACCTGTAAGAGAACATGACATATGGTGGCTGAAGCATTGGACGTTAGTATGAATTTTGCAGTGGACTGCGTGATATAATCCAAAAGGACGGGATATTTTTTAAATCAAATTTTACTCTTGAACAGATTGACTAGTAGTGTAACGTCTTGCGGTGATATGATTTCAGAACGTTTATTCGTTGAATGGCATACCAATACTTGGCATTCTACCAATAAATATGAGAACAGGCTAAATAGAATGGACGTCTCAACTCTCCACATTTTTCCTCTCACAGTTCGGCAAATCTTGCTTTTTATCCAGGCCAGTTTATTCCAACTTCATTCTCAATTTATAAAATTGTATTGCCGTGGGATAAAAGCAAGATTAGCTAAAACCATGGTAACAAAGAGTAAGAAACTGTGGAAAATGTAGAAATCGAGTAACATTAAGATGTGTATTCTATTTATGAAAAGGATAATTTGCATTTCCTTAACAACTTGAAATCAGACAGATATACTGAGTGTTCCATAACGTTAACTCTTGATATATTTTTTTAGAATCTCTGTAAAATAATAAAGCAAAAAATATTATTATTAGAAATCAAAAATTAATATTTAATTGAGTAAAAATCTATTGAATTTTGACAAATCAATATTTGGCTGGTCTTAGAAAAGGAGCAACGTTGAACAATGGTTTAATTGCGGCAGGAGTCGATAGACAGTTAATCATGAAAAATGAATGCATTCCAGACTTGTTGATAATTACGAGGTGTACTGTAAAGACTGCCTTTAACACGCTGAGCGCCACGCTAATTTTACAAGACTTGCCCTTCTGGCCACGGTAAATAACTACAAACTAAATTTGCAAATATTAGACGGATTTTGCTATTTTTTTAGATGGTTTATCATGACATATCTGACAAAAGTGGTGAATTATATAAGCTTACGAATTGTTTAAAAATAGTGGTGGATAAAATTGTACTAAATTGAATTTATTAAACCAAGAATCATAATAATTAAGTAAATTTCGAATACATTTTCTGCAATTCCATAAAGGAGTGTAAATTTTATAGTTCTATATCATGTTATACGCTGTTAGCCAGCTGATTTTCGCGGCCTATGTGAAAGGTCAGTGTCAGCAAGCGGTGGCAGACGCACTCTAAATGTAATTTCAGTGTCAGCCACCGGTGGCTGACGCAGCGCTCAACGTGTTAATATATGTTTTTATATAATGATTCTAGAGAGATTGGATTGAGTTTCTTTTATTAGGCTAAAATATTAATTCTTTTTTATATTTGATATAAATTGATATACAGGGTACTCTCTGGCGCACAAACTTTATTAAACATATTTTTATCATTATTTTGTAGTGTAGGTTAAAATATATTATATTAAGCATTTTAATAATTTATGGTTATGAAATATAGCATGAAGCACCTGTGTTTTTTTCAGCGTTAATGGTAAAATCCTCCAAACATGACTCATTTCCAAACAATAATTTTTCAAATTAGCCGTTATTTAAATCAGAGAGAAACAGTTTTTTATCATTGAAATTTCTTTAATTTACAGATTTATAAATTTTTGAATGCGAATGAAATTTTTCAAACTACTTAGTATGGAATTTTAGTACTAATATCATTCCGATGATCTAATAGATTTTTTTAATAACTTTTAGACTGTTTTTTTATAATTAAAAAATACCAAACTGAATTTTTTCAAGTTAGTAGAGAGTCAGAAAAATAAATAAATTGGAGGCCGTTTGCAACAAAGGGTTAAAGTCCGACTATTAAAAAGTTGCAAAAAATACCACTTGTCATGAAGACCTGAAGTTTGAACTAGGTACTAGTATTTACAACGACGGAGGAAGCATAAGAAAAAGAAATATTTAAAAGTTCGCATTTGCGTTTTTCAAAATTAATTGCAATATCCTGCAGCAATTATTGAAAAATTTTTTTTTATTTTAATTCTCGCATCTCTTGGCAGATTGCCAAGTGAAGCAAATCTGGGAAAAAATGTTTTATACAAGTGCAACCGAAAATTTTTAGCACAAAGATTGTTAACTAAAATAAGAGAGAGTAAGTATCGAAAGTGACAAGGAAAAGTATAGAAAAATATATTAAAAAGTATGGAATATTAAAAAAAGTATGAAAGTATATGTCAGAGAAAGTATTCAGAAAGTGTCAGGGCATGCCGATAGGAGATTATCTAAAATAATAGACTATGGTAGAAGTTTTTTGCTTTGATATTTCACAATGATTCTAAACATGCATATTAAGAGAGGTACGGAACACTTTGTTTCGTATTTTTAGGTTTTAATCCTCCCCTGGCTCGGATAACCCTCCATATTGATTGCGATTTGTTTCCAACCTAAAATTAATTTCATTAAGAAGAGTTGATATTTTCAATGGAAGGAAAAATTAAAAAGCTAACGAAATTATTTTCACTATTCTCATATAATGTGGCAAATTGCTAAGTGAAGCATACCCAGAAAAGAACTCGTTGTTGTTTTAGAAAAATAAGTACAACCAAACAATTCTAGCACTATGAATGTTGACTAAAATGACTAAACAGTAGTCACAGAAAGTATTCCAAAAGTGCCATGACAAGCAGATGGGCAATCATCTAAAACAGTAGACGATGGTGTAGACGGGAATCTTAATTTTCTTCTCCCACTACTATAATAGATTTTTTTCTTTGATAGTCCATCTTTTTTTCCTTGACTAGAATCATCATCTTCTTCATTCTTATCTTCCGAGAGTTTAATAGATTTCATCAATATCTCTTTTCTCTGTTTCCTATCTCGTGCTTTCTCTAAATGTCTTTTTCTCTCTTCTCGAGTCCAATATTTTCCAGTTTTTAACTCACTAAGAGCATCATCATCTGTCGTCAAACCACAACGTTCTTCCATGATTTGCAAAGCGCGTTCTTTTAGTATTTTATTTCTCACAGGTCTTCGAGTGATATAGCGTGTACCATCAGGTCTACGTTTTACTTTCCACTCCATTTTAGTTTCCTCACTAGGCTCTTCGGTTGGTGTTATAACTGAAAGAAAATATATTATTATTATAGAGACAGACAAAATTGTCTTAGGCATTTAAACTTAGGTTAAAATAAAACTGCATCTACCCTCTCACTGCTTATCCCACGATTTCCACGGGCAACGTAGAACCTACCAAAATTTTGCATTACCCTCGATTACCAGGAGGATGCATTTTTTCCCCCTGTCAATTTAGGGCTTGTAGCTTCATAAAAATCGACAAAGACGCTTTTAATGTTAGTCTAAGGGAAAGTCCATTAGTTGTTTTCTTAATAATTATAAGCTTGAAACCTAAGTAGTTGCTACTTTTGAATAGGTCTTTTTAAATTAAATTTCCGCTTAAAATAATTTTTTTTTTAAATTTTTTTTCTTTTAAATGATTATTCTTCTATTTCAATTTTCCAGCAACATTTTTTATGATCTAATTTATTTGGAAAAAGAAAACTTTTATAAATTTCGTGTATATTTTAACTTTAAAATATGTTATGAAAAATACGCAATTTTTTTAAACCTATTTTGATATAAAAATTACGCAGTGAGAGTTAAATCATTCACAATACTTGCATGCGACAATGGCCTTATTCAAATTTTTTTTTTTATTTTTAGAATCGCGATAGAAAGTTTGAATTGGTTGAACTTGGGTCGTATCTAGATTTTTTAATCTTCTTAACTCCGCGATCATAATATAAGCAGTAGTCGAGTGATTTTGGAAATTTCGAACTACCGATATCCGTGATTCAACACATTTAATCTCGGTTTTAAACATAAGAATCGATGTGAGCAATTGTTTTATTATTCTTGAAAAGTTGTAAATAAACGAAAGAGAAGCAACTTTTTGTAGAAATAATTGAATTTATGAATAAGATTTCCAAGTATTAAATATGATTATAAATAACATTGTTATTTAAACAGTAATAAATTCAAGGAAATAAAGATATAATAATAAATTCAAATATATATAATAAATTCAATAAAAATAAAACGTATTTTTTTAATTTTTATTCCATTTTTTTCACTTAATGTCTACATTAAGTAAAAAAAATGGAATAAAATGTCGAATTCTTTTATTCGGCTAAGAATTCTTTTTGCGACTATATCCACTATTTCTTAATCTTTTGATCAAGCTTTTAATTTATATGCATTGTAATTTATATGCACTAAAATAAGAAAATGTAATTATGTATCACGTATTGAACTTAATTAAAATCAATACACTGATCATAATCTATTGGAAGAATCCAATTTTTTGATACAGCTAAAAGAAAATTTGTTTTCTATTTCTTTTCTATATTAAAATGTAGCATAATAATAATTTACGCTATTTTCTATATTATACAAGCACTAATATTAAGCAAAATTTGAGGGTCAAAACTAGGACTGGGCTATAAATCGATATATCGAGACATATCGATTTAACGCCTATATCGGCAGGTCGATACAGCGACAACGTTCCAGGCGATGCATCAGAAATCTGATTTAAGCCGTCTAGTAAAGAAGACGAACGCAAAACGATATAACGATGTACCGATACAAGATACGCAAGGATCTTCTCTTACGTTCCGATGCCAACTCGCGCTGTGGAAGACGATGTTCGTTTCATTATGTTGAAACGGCCTTGATTGATGAGCGGTAGAATCAGAATTAGTTTTGAGAGCATATATCGTGATCTCGCATGTTCGTTTTTTTCTTCTTTGTCGCAACTTGATATCGTTTCTTGAAGATTATTTTCAGTGGGACTGACTTTGTGATCGCCGTCGTTACCTTGTTCTGAACGTAATCTATTATTGAAAAGAGTATATAAAGAAGTGTTTCTTAATTAATTAGGTAAAATTTTTTCTTTAAAACAAAACTTTCTTTTTAATTTTTAAATATGATAATTAATTTTGATATTATATGTTTAAGTAATTTTTTACATTATTGAATTTATTACAATCGGAAATCTAACTTAAGGTGCCCATAAAGAATTAAATTAAAAAGTAATTAAATTTGTTAGGCTATTTTTTACTTTATTTTAATTTATTAAAAGCTTTTTGGATAAAACATCTAATAATTTAATGGATTTTTATTACTGATTTTAAATTTATAAATCTTAGTAATGTTTGCAATTGCGACTTCCTTTTTTTTTTTTTTTTTTTTTTTTNTCGTTTTATTAAAGAGTATAATCGTGTTTTTTAATTTTCTTTCAATATTGTCAGTTAAATATATTATCGAATATCATAATTCTTTTGTTTTTATTTTTAAGAAATTAAACCTTACTTTGTTTTTTCGTTCAGAATTCGGTATTTATTCAATTTAACTTTATTATTTATGCGAAATAATAATTATAAAAAATAGTGTTGTTTTAAAAGTGGTTTTTTTGTTTAATTTATTTAGCACTTTGTTTTAAAATGTTACAAGTAATTTTTACATAATGTTATGTTACAAGTACTTTGTTACAAGTAATTTTTAACGAACTTATTTTTTGAATTTTCCACCTATATTGTTTGGTAAATATATTGATAAATTTCAATTTTATTTAATTTTTTTATTATTTATTTTCAAACTAAGAAATCCTTCGTTAATTGGGCGATCATTTTTAGAAAATATAACATTAATATCTTTCTTAAGCAAAACATGTACATCGAATTCATAAATTGATTTAAATCAATCTGAGTATGAAGTTTTGATGGAAATCCGACTTTCTGCGCCTTACAAGTAAATGAATTTCAAAAATACTATATCGCGATACATCGCTATATCGTGATGCAAAACTGACGATGCATCACGATATAAAATTTCTTATATCGCCCAGTCCTAGTCAAAACTGTAATATTTAAAATAGCTAATTAATATTTTTCATAAATTTTTATAGATTTATATTTTTTGAATCACTACATTTTATTTTTTTTTCTCTGAGAATGAAGATTTTGGTGACATTTCAAGCAAAATAATTACTAAGCGATTTAAAATATTTTCAATCAGTATAATTTTTGATAATTTTTTGCTTTATTTGGTAAATACAAAGTAAGATTATAAAACTTTTATTGCGTCTTTTTTAAAAAAAAGCCCTTATAAGTTAAAATTAGCTATATTTTGAAAAATGAGAAAAGTTCGGTGTCTATAAAGCTCTGCACAAATTTATTGTAAAAACACTTGAAGAAATATATAGAAGAGAATAGAAAAGAAAAAGCAAATCAATGTCAACGAGTAAACTGTACATAGCGTGATAACTTAAAACAATAAAAGAAAAAGACTACAAAAATATAAAACAGAAATAGTAATGAAACAAAACGCTAAAGAAATTATACTCTAAAATACACTCCTGTCCATAAATTGACATTTAGTCAGAATCACGCGGAAATTGAGCTCGTAATTAAAAATTTCCCCAGTTGAATTATTATACACATCTACAAGAATAATTTGCAAATTACAGGAATCCACCAGATGATGCCGACAGTACTCCACAATGACGAGAGTATAAGAGAGCGGTATATACGGAATGTTGGCAAAGAAATAAAATTATTCCCAAGAATTCTGTAAGCCACTCAATGCTGTAACTGAATAGTTATGACACTGAGAACGCACGTGGATTATTTTTTACGTGATACAACTATCGTCCTCCAGGAATGTGGGCCTACTCAGATGAAAGTATCCGAGGAACTTGGAATTGCCCTAAGTATCAACTCTAGGTTTTGGAAATACTTCCAAGATGATGGAAATGTTTGTAATGCAATACAATATAGGTCGCCCCCGATTTACAACCCCGAATAAAGTCAAAGACAGATATGTGGCAGTAACTGCCAAAAGAAGCAGACAGAACAGAAGCACAGCATCTGATTTGTCTGGTCAGTTACAGGTTACATAGTTTCAAGGTAAACTGTGCACACTATATTATATGCTCATTGGTCAATATTATATGCTCACAAACATGCTATGTTCCGCTCATGGCTACTCACTGTCCCCAGCAATTAGCCTGGAGTAGAAAACACGTATCGTCACAGTGGGTTTGTGTGAGGTTTATCGACGAGTCAAGGTTTAGCTTGCAGTCTCGATTCACGTCGGACATTTATATGGAGAACGCCAGGTATCCGTTACCCTCAAAACAACATCACTGAACGACAACGTTGCGGTGATGCAGGATTGCTAGTTTGGGGTAGAATTATACGGATTTCCAGAACAGATCTAAACTATGACAGGTTCAAATTTATCGGGTCATCATTCTAGAACAACATGCATGTTTGTATATGGGTACCATGGGCACAGAATTTGTGTATGGATGATAACGCCAGTCTTCGCCTAGCAAACATCGTAAATGAATGCCTTCGATTTGAGAATATTACCGTATGGGATGGTCAGTATTCTAACCAGACATGAATCTGATAGAGAATGTGTGTACTTGCTTGGTCGACGAGTTGCAACCCGATTACTACACGCGAACCGGATTTTCGGAGAGCATTGCTTGCTAAGTGGAGTAATTTTCAGCAAGATCAGCTCGTTAATTTGATACTTAGCATGCCTAGACATTTTGCGAAATGTATTTCATCGCATGGGTGACATGCAATGTATTAACCATCATACTGATCACGTCAAACTGATCACGCAATATGAAATTTTTTTAATGGAGATAATTTTTATAAATGCCCCAGAGAGCAAAAAGATCGTAGTTTTTATGAATGGTATCACACATACACCCTCTTTTTTGTTCTTTAACTATTGTTTACTGAATTAACTTTATGAATAACGTTTGTTTAGTTTCTGAGCCTTATTTGACGAATTTGGTTTTATCTTTATTTTACTGACAGGAATGTAATTGGAGAAAATTAAGACGATAAATTAAATTTAAGAAAACAAAAAGGTAAATCCACAAAATTATAAAGTAGAAACAGTAAAAAAACAAAGCACTAAAGCAGCTAGAAGAAATTATCGTTTCAATAGAAAGTTAAAACAACAAGAAATGAGAAATATAATGTAAATAGTTTGTTTGTGATGGGCTTGATAAATATGAGCTATAACTGATAGACCGAAATATTTGTTAGTGTATTATAGTTTAATAAGGAACATGTAATTTATTTTTTTAATAATGGCAAAGTTGTTACCTGTTAATTATGTTTCATTACTAAATATTCACTAAAAATTTTCTATAAAATTTCCATTACTTGTATAAGGCGGCACGGAGTTAGTTAAAATGTCGGCCAGCGTCCACCACGCACCATATGAGAAAAATAACATAAGCAAACGTCCACGTGATGCGGGAAAACCAATCAGAAGGTCATTCGAGATCTAGATTGAAATTTTAGTTGGGAAGTTCGAAGAACTATGATTTCAGAAACTGTTGGGAATATGGATCCGCGATGTTGGTGTTCGTTCGACAGGATGTGGATCGAAACTTGAGATACAGGAAAAAGTGCAGAATACGGCCCTAAGGCTGAAAGAATAGGTTATATAGATTTATCCGATTCAGTATTAATTTTTAACCACTATTCAGCTTAGGTAGGACCGATCTATAATCATCTGTCCAAGACGCATAGGGATGTTTGTGTCAGTTTAACTTGGATTACGAACTAAAAAAGTTTGAACTGCATTAAATCATTCGCAACATATGCACGAGAATATAAGACTGAGAAAATAGGTTATATATATATATTTGCCGAAAACATTTGAGTTAGAATTCAGCTTGGGTAAGGACATACATATTTGTCCAAGAAGTGTGGGGATGTCTAGGTCTGTACGGAGATATTCGAAGTCCAAATCCCAGGAGTAGATAAAAGTGTTTTAGATCAGCGCTTTTATTTGCAAGAGATTTTTCTTTTTTTAATGGTCTGGTGTTTTGTCTTCCGAGTTGCGTTAAAATGTAAATGATTATAGAGATAACTCTTATGCACTGAACTTAATATTTGGGGTTCAATACATCGTTACTAAAAGTAAAATTAACATATAAGTTATCTCAAATTTTTCTTAATGCCACTATTGAGATCATGTATCATTATAAAAGAACGTAAATAAAAACAAATCTATTGTGTTTATGTGGCGCAATAGAAGAAATTCAAAAATAAGGGACCTATAAAATTATTTTAGAATGTATTGTTGGAAAAATATAGTGTTGTCACACTTAACATCACTTTTAGTAAATTAATGGATAGCCATATAACACCCCAAAAATTTGATTTTGTAATGTAGAAAGATGACATACTAAGTCAAATCTTTTGAAAAATTACATCTCATTAAAAATTAATATTGACCTCATAAAGAAGTATAGTTACAAACTAAAATCTTTTGAACTTAGAATTATACAGCGTGTACCTAAACAACCGTCCTACAAAAATACTTTTAAACTCCTTGTAACAAAATAAATAAAAATATATACTATTGAGTCAATATATTAGAAGACACTGATATTTAAGCGAAGGAAAAAAAATCCTTTGAGTTTGAAATAGTTAGGCTAAGCTTGACCTAGTAGTCATGATACACACACTCATAGTAGTTTTATATGAAAATAGAATATTATTCGCATAAAAGCATTATTTAACGAGAGGACAACCTTCGAAAAATACTCTTTAATTGTAACAGACGAGATTACTTGTCATCCAGGAGAAACCAGTGTGTTTTAAGGACAAGATAATACGTCATCATGGAAAACCGCTGCGTGCAAAGGACGAGATAACTCGTGCTCTATAAAAGGTTATACTATATTATTGCAGCATATTCATCGACTTATTTATCTACATTTTAGAGCATTCCTGTTCAGAATATTTTGTCTTTACCACATTTCAGCAAGATGATGCCACCAGCTCAATTTTTAGAGACTTTGTGATATTAGTTTCTTACTTTAAAATTCTTAAGTTTGTTAGCACAAATAAGTGATTCTATTGAGTATTGTTAGTGATTGCAATTAATTATATTTTTTAATGTAAAATAAATTAGTTTTAACAGAATTTTCGTTTTGCTACTATTTTAGCTTTACAGGAAAACTTTTAACGCAGACGAGGCAAAGAAGTGCCATTGTAGTGATGAAAGTGTTAAGACAGTTCTGCAAAAGCTGTTTGGCTACATGAAATAACACTCTTTGTATTGTAGTTATAACCAGCATTGAAGAGTCGACATAATTTTGAATTTTCGACTATCACTGTTCAACTTAGCCTTGTAATTATGAACCCAACCTAGAAAACAAGGGAACTTCTGTATAAAGTATTAGGGGAACTTTTTGATGGAACTAACCTGAATTTGCGTTAGATAGTGAGGAAAACCTACGCTTAGCCCGACGGCAAAGGGATTCAAACTTATGATCCGTCTATCACTGAGGATATTTTACGCAAGCACTGTGGTCGATGCGTACCGGGATCAGAATTCGTACCTAACGGCAACCGCTGGGATTCTGGGTCACCTCATTGGGAGGTGTTCAACGTTCTATCCCTGAGTCAACACTCTTTGTATTAAAATATGCCTATAACTATTTTGTTGGGTGCTCAGTCAAGTTTAACCTATTTTTACCTAGTGCCTTCTATGCTAATTCTAGAACTGGCATAAAATGCCACGAAGAAGGAACGCCACTGTTTTGTCAAAATACGTTTGCTATTTTTTTCTATTTACTTTAGAAGCAACTCAAACGCTGCATTATCTGGGTTCATCAAAATTTGCGAAAATGCAGAATTTTTCCTTGGCTTACATAATTTTCGTCTGCGTGGGAAAATCTCCACAAATTGGTTATTTTTAAAAAGCTCAAGAACTTTCAAGATATCTTAAATTATTTGTCCGTTCCAAAAACCAGATAATTTTCGACAGCAAGATGGTATACATAAGGTAAAGTCTTAGCTTTGCCTGCACTTAAATTCTTTAAGACAAGGAGATACAAGCGCTTCCCTTGGTACGCACGCTATGAGAGTATACTAAGTACGGGATAGAATGATTTTTCCAGTTAGCCCACTTTTATTCAAAAATTCAATTTTTCTCACTCAGTGAAAAATATAAGGGTGATTCTCACGAAACATGACAATTCGGACCAAAAAATTTCTTCAAATTTAAAGTCTTCAAAATAATCTAAAAATTTTTTTGTATACTTCTTTACTTATTAATATCTACACTTATTAATATCTTATAGACAGCAGTGTAGTTTATTGACATCTGCTCGAGAAAAAAAAATAAAATAGAAATTCACCAAATCTTGAATGCCAGGAAAATGACATATTACCTTAGAAGTTTAAAAAACAGTCAGTCATTTTAAGTTAATAATAAATAACTCAACTAAAGCCTTTATGTTAGATGGACCATAAATTGCTTTAATTAATTCTTTTTGATCCACTGTAGAAAGAAGCAAAAAAAAATTTGTTGCTGATATGTACAGAATAAAGTTGTGTATAATAATCAATCATTAAATAAATAAATAACTTTGATTACATCCAAGCATATTACAATCATACATAAACTTGGTATTAGGTTAATATTTGCTTTCCCTCTTTACAGTATTAGCAGTTAAAAAGAATTTCTGGTAACACTTCAATGTCCTGGCATTCATAAGCCAGGAAAATGACAGCCAGGATAATGACAAATTCGCCATTTTATAGCATATAACTTTACTTTAATTTAATATTTTGGCCGAAGACGTTTATATTCTGCAGAAAACAACAGTATTTCTTAAAATAGCTCAGATATATCTATGTAGTTTTTGTTATTAATGATTTCAAGAAGCCAGGAAAATGACAGCATGAAAACCTACTCACCTTGAAAAATTTTTTGAAATAGATTTTGAGCCAGAAAATTGGTTCTTTATTCATGCAACAAGACATGTTCAGATAGGCGGGTATCTAATCAATCTATTAACATAAGATATTAATTCCTGGCGCTATCTATTTTGGTCATAAATCACTATATAAAAGTAGCCAGAAAAATGACAGATTTTCATGGGACAAACAAATTATTGACAGAAAAAATTATTTTAAACGGAGTTTTAGTAAACAATACCCTCTGCGTATATTCTGGAAAAGCTTACATAGGATAAGATAAAAAATAAGTTTGATTTTGAAAAATATATGGGAAGTTTTGAAGCTTGTTATTATTGGAAATATTGTTTGGGAAATGCCAGGAAAATGACATTTTGATATTCAATTAAATTTTTTAAGTATACAAAACAGTCAATGCTAGTGCAAAGTCATTTTAAAATGCTGACAGCAATGCTGTTTATAAATTTTTTTTTTTTAAAAAAAAGCTCTTTTAGTATTATAGTATTAGATCTTGCAGCAAGGGACAGTGAATTGTCATGTTTCGTGAGAATCACCTATAAACCAAAAACCAGAACCCAGTCATTCACGTGCCTAATTTATCAATCCTCTCCATAGAGCCGAACACATGCAGCTGTTTGTTTAAATGCCCTGGATCAAATAAAAAAGTAATAAAAAAACATATTGAAGATTAAACGTCTGTGAGATATTATTCGGAATTATAACGGCCTTCTTCCACTATTAAGTATCATTTAAAAATTGAAATAAAATGTTCCAAACTGAAATCACATCCATGTAATCATGGGCTGCTGGGGTAGGAAATCTATCATTATAATCATAATAAATCTATCAGGATAATCATATATGATATTGTGGACCTTGAAGATAAAACCACGATGTGTGATTAGGGTTCTGAAGAGGCGATTTTTCGTGGCGAAAGATTTCTGAAAAACATTATTAAAGAAAGTGAGTGACAAATATAAAAAATAAAAATGCAATTTACCAGGACTTTTTGATGTAGAAGGTGGTTGATTAGTTCGTAAATAAGGTAGATTTCTTGTTGGAGGCAAACTATCGAAAGAAGAGGAGGGATATTTTTGATTCCATTGCTTACCAACAGGTTGTGTACAAGTAGGTATAGTACTAGCTTTTTTATAATGTTTGTGAGCTAAAGCTTGGCGAAACAGCTGTTGTTGTAACCATATAGTGTGCTGCAAATTTTCTTGATTAGTGTACATGGTAGCACAAGGATAGAAAGTAACGTAATTTTTATTTCGTTCTACTTGTCTATCAATAAAATCCCTACCCGCTACACTAGCAGGTTTTGCTGGTAATTTACTAGGTTCAGTAACAAATGGATCACTACTAGTTGTTCTACTCATCCCTCTCTGGGCACCATACCATTGAAATTGTTGTTGAGGTTGGCTGTATTCAAAGCTTGGAACACCTCGATCATTTTGTTCTGCAGTTCGTTTTTGATGAACGAGCACTTGGCAATAACGGCAGGTATCACAACTAACAATGCTAGCAACGTCACTTTCGCAAAGTTGCGTACTTTTGTCCACAAGCTTAGGAGAACTTGGAAATAGTTTTGAAGGCTCGTCATATTCAGGAAACTTACCATTAGTACAGTCTGGTATTGGAGCAAGTTCAAGAGTTAATGGCACTCCACGAGCAGCCATTGCTTCCGTGAAAGAAGAATTGGGTTTATTATGTTTTCGATTTTCAAAGGTAACATTTTTAACCCACTGGGCAACACTTTCTTTTTTCTTTTCATTAGGAAGAGTGGGTAAGGAGGGTTCAAGGGGAGGTATACTAGAAACAGGTTCCATTGTAGTTGCAACATATTGATGACCGGCACGACACCTGAACCACTGCTCACGTATATGTCTGCTAACCAAAGATTCACATTCAATTTGAATACTTTGCATTTCTTTATTGAGAGCGGCCATTTCTTTGTCCAAACTTGTGTCTGACTGAACTCGAGAAATAGTCCTACAATTAAATCATTATACATTAATTTCTAAGAAAATTGGCAAAAACCGAAAATTAGTTAATTAGTAAATAGTAATTAATAATTAGTAAAGATAATTAGTAATTAGTAAAGAAACTTAAATTACTATTGTTTAAAATTACAAATCATTTACAAGGTGGCAAGAAATAACTTAGACAACGTTTAAATAAATTTATCGCAACACATCGCAAATTCATTTTGGAACGCTTCCTTGGTTCCAAAGGTTCTTTGGCTTTACAGCAAAGTTCAAGAGCATTGAAGTCATAATTATCACTTAATAAATACATTTCAGTGCGAGAAGGTGCAACTTTTTCAAGACCAAAACATAATAAAAATAACACGAACTGCCATGCAAATAAAAATATTAAAAATAATGAGAACAAAGATGCTATTTGAGTGCACCTCTACTTAATGAAAACCACAGAAATTTAAGACAGAATGAATAGCAAAATATTTGCTAAAAACGCTTTTCTATTGCCCTTCTAATAATTTCGATTTCTTTTCTCCATAAAAAATATCTAGAAGATGTAGGACAATTTACTACTTTTGATAAGAAAAACCTCCCAGAGATCAAAAATATCTCTTTGATCTCTGGGAGGTTTTTCTTATCAAAAGTAGTAAATTGTCCTACATCTTCTGCTTTGCTTTTCTCACTCATTGGAGATATCTGTGATCTTCAGCTAACAACTTCCTGGAGTTTAATGTATGCTTTTTTTTTTAAATCTTATTATCTCAACATATATGTGAATTCTCATCTTGTTATTTTGTTTTAGAATTAAAGAAGCACGGAAGCTTGGAAAAGAAGCACGGAAATGGAATGTGCATGAACATGTTTATTATAACTAAAGTCCGACTTTTGAAAAGCTTTTAAAAGGAGCCACCAGCCAAAATTATCTGAAAATTGACAAAATCTTCACAAAGAACAGAACAAAGATAAAAACAAAAAAAGTTGTTTAAAATATTAGCGATAGATGGCGTTTTACTCAATGTACTAGTCAGTTGGCATGCTGTACAAAAGCATAATAGAGCTTCTTAATATGCATTTTGAAAATGATTAAACCAGTCATCACTTTCCAACAGCCTGGCCGCCAAGATCACTTAATGCATGCCATTTCTGTCTGTTCTGAAAAGTGTATTCTTCAATGGCTCTATTGCAAACTTAGGTGAATTAAAGTCATTAATTCCCGCATTGCATTCGTTATGTCACCTTTGATATACCGATCTGTTATGAAGAATGCCGTTTTCTGTTTTTAAGTTATGGCAGAAAACGGTAGACAAACATATCGAGTATTTCTCGAGGAAGTCTTAAAACGGTTAACAATTATTTTTTGTTTTTAGTATCCCTATTTCCTTTTCATTCTATTTATTTAAATTTGAAAATGGCACCTGTAACTGAAATCATTTACGTTATGACTTGTAAAGGGCCCTCTTCCTCTAAACTTTTTAACTATTATTTTACATGTCATATTCTTTCAGTTTCTTCCTGAATACTCGGATCAAATTTCAAGTTCTTCTGATTCTTTATAGCTTTGTGTGCTGTTGAATATTTCCAAGTGAAAATTATCTACAATATTCAACAGGCCATCCAAGGCAAACAAATGAAAGTTCCCAACTTACGAGACTGAATTAGAGTTGAAAATCCGCAATCAATCGTTTGCGTCTTGTGGCTGCTAATCGCTAGAGTGCATTTTTCTCACTAAAGTTTGTTGCTATTGACAACCAATTGATCATCTAACGTTCAATTGAAGACGAGGTTTCTTGAAGGTGTCGTTGAAATTAAAATTTTGAGAGAAAACAGAAAAGTAATTATTACAACAGCTTCAAAGCTTCAGTTATAGCAAAGCATTCCTTTAAGATCTAGTTGTCGGTCAAGGAAACATAGAGGTTAAAGTTCTACAATTTTGAGGCCAACGTATTGTAGTGTCAATGTGGTCGGCATTGCGCACAGCCTGCCTTTACTTCCTAAACCAACTTTTATCCATCATCTGAAGCTAAGTGGGTCTCAAGCAGCCACCAGAAATAGAAACCGAAATCTATTTATCAAATCCACCATCTTAACCCCATCTCCAAATTTGTGCCGATCCCATATTTTGCTATCAAAAATATGAGGTTTAGAGATGATAGAGTTTGTTTGTAGTTTTACCAACAATTTACAAATTATCGAATCGGAAAAAATAAAATATAGAGTGATGACATTTTTTGATAGTTTTATGTTCTAAAACTTTAGACAGAACAATGTTATGCGAAGCTATAAAATACTTTAAATTTAGAGACGACGTAAGAGAGTTTTATTTATTTATTTATTTATTTATTTGTTTTTTTATTGACAGAGTGATAATCTCTATGGAATGATTGATGGCAAGAAAAGCAAGCTTTACTATCTGAACCACTATGCGATACAGAGGGAATCTATGCAAGAGATAGTCGGGCATTATTCTGGCCAGAGATTCAATGAAAATATAGTTCATCAAAATCATAGAACACAAACTATATTCAAGAGCCAGTTATTCATGCGCTGACAAACTTGTCGTTCGAAAAATTGTGCTAGATATTTGTGCGTGGGGCGCTGTATTTGGTTGCCACATATCAAAATTGTTAGACACTTTGTCTTCTTGTCAGAAGTTAGCCACAGTCACAGCCGCAAATTGTTGTTTTTTGAACTACAAAACCCTAACTTCATCACTTGAAAACAGTAGACTATACACTTATAAAATTTTGTTGAGATCCGTTATAACGTACACAGCTGAAACAGTGATACTGAATGAGAAAAATAAAGACTTAGCAAGTATCTCTGCTTGTTCTCTCAATGAGTTTTTAAAATCTCTCTTAATTAGAAGCAAAGATCTTCAGACTTAGGAGAACGCAGAAGAGGAGTATTAAACAACGTTGGCTTGTTATTTACTTTGTTTAGCTGAAATATGAGGTCCAAAGAAAATGATTTTAACATTCCAAAATATTTCCTCGGCATTTCAAACAAAACTTACGCAAGCATGAATGATATATATTTAATTTATTGGCATCAGAATCATTTTAAGCGTTACTAATCATTAGAATTTACTAATCACCAAGCATTATTAATTATTTCATAGAAGCCTAAACACTGTAACCAGTGAAGGATAGGGTATACTTTGTACTACGCACGAATAAAGCAGAACAGTGTAAATAAAACATAAATAATGTACAGAAATGAACATACTATAGTTTCAGATATATTAACAAGAACTTTCCTCAGAGTCTAAACACAAAATGACAGTAGAAAAGCAATCAGACAAACACGTGCAAAGTGGCTCAACCTATGGGGGGGGGGGAGGAACATGCTTGAACAAGAAAGATTGTTCCATTCTTAGTTCTCTTCCCTTACTGAAAATAGGATTCTTGTTCAATCTTGTTCCTTTTCCACTACTGGAAGTGAGGTTCTCGTTTAATCGTGTTTTTCTCATCCTGATTGAAGTAGGGTTCTTGTTTAAGTTTGTTCCTCCTCCTTTACTGATTAAACCCTTTCCCCCCCATGTTTGTTTCCTTACTCTTTAACTGTTATTTTGCGTCTAGACACTGAAATTTTAGTTTATAGAACTGAAACTGACAAGTAACTTCTTGCTGTAGAAGCGAGGCAAGTATGCAATAATACTTACTTTGAATCATCAGATGGTTGTCCAGCAGTGTAGGGATCTTTTTTCGAATTATTTTCTGGGCTAACATCGTACAATGCCGTAGTGCTCGCACACTTTTCATCTGTTTGATTGCTAGAGGAAGGATTTATGTCTTGGTTAGGAACTGTACCATGTGGAAGAAGTAAGCGACTACTAATGAAACTCCAATCTGCCTCATTGTTGGTATTTTTCACTTTATCAACGTCATTCTTTGAATCTTGTGTACTTTGTCGTTGCTGTAACTGAAAAAAAATATTAAGATTTAATGAAAATAAATAAAGCCATTTCTGCGGTATGTACACTTATTGAGAGCTGTGAGCTACATTGATATGTTAAAATTACAAATAAGGTTCTCTTCTAATATATATTTCTAGAATCCTTCCCAAAGACTAAGAAGAAGAAAAGGATACACATTTGAACGCGGAAATCAATAATCCGACGCTATCGAAATTTTTTAAATCACTAGTGAGAGTGGAGACATGGAAAACATCAAACATTGATATGATTTCCTGGTAAAACTTGGAGAGATCTTTAATAATCATAGTTCAACTGTTCTCGGGTAATCAAAAAGATTTTGAAGCTTTCAATCCCACCCTTTTCAGAATAAGCAAGATTTCGACATGGTTTTTTTTTCTTCACTTGCTTACATAGTAGTTTGCGACCCCTAATATGTATACTTGATCTTACTTTTGCCAAAAATTTCTAAAGCAATATCGAAATTAGACGAATCACTAGTGAGGTAAACGGAAAGAAAAGCTTTAAAACTAGTTTGATTGCATGTTGTAACTAGGAGGTGTTTCTGATATGCCTTTCAACTACTCTCTCGGACTATCAACAAGTTTTGATATTTCTCAGTAGCAATTTGTTAGATAAATTTTACAAAAAAAAAAAAAGAAATTCAATGGCATATATTTCCCCTATAAGTAAACTAGACAAACTTACATTTGACATCTTATGTAAGCAGATTTCATATTTTACAAATGTTCTATAAGAGTTGCAAAAATGAAATGTGGACAAGTTTAGTGAAAGGAATACCTTTAATGGAAATCAAAAGAAATCGCCGGTCCCATCGTTTAGATAGCAGGTCTATGCTTTGCTGTAGAAAGATTGTGATTGATTCTAGAAGAATAGGTCCTTCCCAGCTACCTTCACTTCGTCGTCAGAATGAAAACATGTCTCTTCTAATGCTCTCTTAAGTGGCTCAAGATAAAATCACAGGGTGACAAACCTGGACTGTACGGTGGGTGTTCCAACACTTTTCAAAGGAAATTTTTCGTATGGTCCTTTGGGTTTCACGGAATGAGTGTGGGTTGGCATTGTTATGGAGAAGGATCACTTGTCGTGTGAGAAATAATAACCATTAGATTTTGTTTACTTTTTATAGTTTCGTCAGAGTCTTGTAGTATTGTGTTGAACTAGAGCTCCCTTGGGGCAGGCTGTTCCGCTCTGGACGCATCCATGCGTAGTACGACTTTACTTTCGATACATTTTTCCACCAGGAACGCCTCACACCGCCCTTGATATCCCTGTTCGTTTGCGCTGCTGTAGCCATTGGGACTGAAACACACGTGTCCACTTTTTATAATGGCTACCCTTATATAAATACGCACCCATAAATTTTAAAAATAGTTAATAACTTTAAAACAAGTTATTTCGCAGCAAATGTTATTTCGACTTAAAATAAAAGGAAAAATTCTTGTGTCAAACGAATTATATTCTTTTACGAAAGAAAATTGGTTTTTCATAACAGTTTTAAACGTCAAGTATTGTGAAGGCTTCTCTCTGTAACGTTATCAGAAAACACTTGCGCGTACATACTTTTTTTTCATACAATGAACAAGAGTTCTAAAAAATACCCCAGACGATAGAACTTTGGGGTAAGAGAGCGGCGACAACTTCTGAATTGATTCCAAGAGCGTCTTTTTTTCTTTACTTCTTTTTCTTCTCCAATATAGGAAAAACGGCGCCATTTTTATTATAAAAAATATGAAAACATTGCGAAGTCTCCAATAGATATCCCGTATATTTATTTATATGTTAAGTGTGAAGCTGTTGCCGGTAGCTCATTGGCTGACAGATGACATTAGTTTTATACTCTTCTTTAGAATCATATTTGCGATAAAATTTTATATTTAAATATTACCTTTTAATAAAAGCGAAATAATAAATTAATTATCACACTTAAACTGTGTACGTTTCATTCATATTTAATAATTTCACTCACATGCGTGACATGTATTGTAAACATAGTTAATTTTTCTCTCAATTTTAATGCTCCGAAGGAGCTTTTTATCAAAAAATTATAAAATGTGCATGTAACTTTTGGAGAACTTTTAAACATTTTCAATAAAAAGCATTTCTTTTATTGCTAGTACACCAAAAATTGATAAATGAGCTTGAACAATTTTACCACTTGTCTCATGGCATATAAACTAATTCCCGAATTTCATAGGTGTGTTAATGTAATAAGTGTATTCATCAATAATATTATTCATTAAAGATATTCGGTAATAAATATATGCTCTATAGCAGCTGTGATACGGGCTCTCAAATCAGCCATGGTGTTGAACCTAGAGACACGCAATCTTTCTCTACACGCTATTCATGTTGTAGTAACTTTGGGTGTATATACATTTTTAATAAATACATAATAGAAGTGTTTCCAACTTTTTTACCTCCCCCTGTACATACATAGTCAAACTTCATTAACGAGAACACGCTTAACATGAGATTCCTTTAACAACTAAATTTTTCATTCTCCATCAAATTGTAGAAGGATATAACACTTTAAAATACTTCTAACGTGAACACGCTTAATCTTATGAAGTCAATTATTTAGATAAATTTTAATATTAATTGAAATAAATAATATTAATTAATATTAATTAATGATATTAATTAATATTAATTATAATAGTTATATTAATATTAATTAAAGTTAATTATATTAATTTATATTATTTATACTAATTAATTATATTAACTAATAATTATTATAATAAATTTTTTTCTTTTAATGTGAACAGAAAATTGATTTCCCTTCCGGCAGATAAGAAAACGGATTATTCGCAGTTCTATATCTATAAAAGTATGTTTTTTTTAATGCCTTGTGTCGATAATAGTAAAACTACAGCATTCAAATCTAAGAAATGATGAGGGGGCATTACAGAAAACAGTCCTTTTGTACTCTTAATTTGAATAAAGCTTCTTTCACCTCATGAGAGGGAAGGTAATGAAGCATGCTTTCCTGAGAAATGACCTCCCATTGTGATCGTTTGTTCAATATGGATTCTCCCACCCTCTCATAGGTTGTCCACTTTCAATAATTGATACAACTGAATTGCATTTCTACAGGTGAAGTAGTGTGAAATTTTTCTGAATTTTGGTCTACTTTCCTCTGATGGATTCCTACGAAACAATCAATCATTTTGTAATGCCAAATAAAAACACGAATTATTTTTTTGGATAAGTTGGAAGACTTTTGACTGCATGTGCGAATAAGAAACCAAACAAACTATTACCAATTTTTTTGTTAGTAATCCTCTCTAATTTGTGCGTTAAATCAGTTTAATCCTGGTAGTTAATTTTTACTCATTTTTTATTTGCTTCTACAGAATTAAAAAACAAAATAGATCTCCGAAAGTAAGTACACTTGTTGAATTTTGTCTGAACTTTCATATTTTTTTCTAATAATAATTTTATTTTTAAAGTAATTGATTGTATTTATTATGAGATAAGTAAAAGTTATTGATTTAATATAGAGCTACAAATAAAAACATTCATTGAAATGAAATATATATTAAGTTTTATATTCATAATAGAAATTTAAGATTAGAAAACGCATATACATAATAGAAAATGTCTGCGTATTGTAGGATTTCCATCAAAAAAATTTATAAACTTAAGCACTTTTAATGTGAACAAATATTTTGTCCACTTTCGACTTGATGTTAACGAGGATATACACACATTATAGAAGTCTGAAAATGTTATTTTACGCCGTTAGGGGTGCTTCCCCGTTATAAATTGGCTGTTCATACGTATTTGATACGCATTTATCTACGTTATCTTATCTTATGTGCATAAGCGTAAATATAAAACTAAAGTAATGTTAATTTTACCATTTTTTAATAATTATTGTCGAAAATTACATTTAAATAAGCTCAGAAAAAGCCTACTGAGTGTGATTAACAAGTTAGTCACAAAATTGTTAAATTACTTAAAATATCGATTTTTGAGTCCATCTGAAAGCAATCTTCAAAAGCCGTAAAATTAAGATTCATAAAAGTAACGTTTGAAATGCACCCTTAGCGGTGTACAGTGAGGAAAGAAAAAAAAAAAGGACCACCCTGAATAATTTTTGATCTAATGATCAGATCTTCACGTTCTAAAACTCAATCTTAATGATTCGAGGGGGTTATCTCAAACATGCTAATTAATAAGTGCAGACTGCACTTTAAGTTACGAAATCAGGCACTTTCTCTGAATAAGCATAGCCTTTTTTTCAACGGATTGAAATCTGATGCAAACTATAGAGGGTAGCCGCAATCTCGTAAATATGGTCTCCATAGTTTGATCAGGAGAACGCTGCAAAGTTTGGACCACTTAATGTTAATTTTGTTTATTGCGTATTTCGCTGTATCTCGAGAACGTTTTAAGTGAACTGAAAACTTTTTGCATACAATTACGAAGTTCGTTTATCCAAAGATAATTCCATGCAAAAAATGACCTTTAGTAAATATTTATTATTTTTTGTTACTTTATTTATAATGGTCGAAAACATTTTATATTGCAAGTTATAAAAGTTTTTGTATCATTTTAAAGAATATAATTTTACATGACAAAATTCAAAATTGGAGTAAAATCGGTCGAATTGTTCCCAAGAAAGTGGATTTCAAAAGAGTAAGATATTTAAAATATGATTTCTCAGGAACAAATCGACCGATTTTGCACAAATTTTGTACTTTGTCATGTAAAATCATATTTTTTTAAAATGATGCAAAAAATTACATACTTTACAATTCAAAATTTTTTCGATCGTTATTTAATAAAATAATAAAAAAAAATATTTACTGAAAGTTATTTTTTGCATGGAATTATCTTTGGATAACCAAATTTTCTATCTGTGTTTTTCCATTCGCTTAAACAGTTCTCGAGATTCGAGATATGGCGAAATAGGCAAAAAGTAAAATTAACATTAAGGGGTCTAAACCTTAGAGCGCTTTCCTGACTAAACTATGGCGACCATGTTTCCCAGATTGCGGCTACCCTCTATATTTTGGAGTTAGAAAGCCGGATCAGTCTGAAAAAAGGTATGTTCATTTGTCTGATTTCGTAACTTAAAATATTGTCTTCACTAATTAATTAGCATATTTTGAGGTCATCACTTTGCACCATTAAGATTGAGTCCTAAAACGTGAAGATCCGATCATTAGATCAAAAGTTATNTTTTTTTTTTTTTTTTTTTTTTTTTTTTTTTTTTTTTTTTTGCGCACTGTGTGCATTTCCCAATTCTTATAATTTGTAACTTTTTCACAGAATCACTCTGTATGAAAAAGAAAAGTATAAATGATACAACACCATATAAAATTCCTTAGGAAAATCTTCAAGTCGTTCTTCTTCGTCATCTTCATCATCTCCCTAAGAATCATATCAATCAACTTTATTAAATCAAGCGATCATAAAAATTCATCTAAGTATCTTTAAAAGGTAAGATAAATTGCAATTATTGAAAAAGGGATGGAGTAATAAAAATAAAAAACTCGGCTAAGGTACTTTTGAAATCAAGCATACATCACTTTAATCTATACGCGTCTGGTTTATCCAATATAGCCATGGTTGCACTGGCAAGGAATTCATTGTTTCACTCTCGGCTACTACGTGAATGACTCGAGACGTGAATTTTTGAGAACTCAAAACATGTCCATTTTTATTTACATTTTCATATTTTTTTGAAGTTAATAAAGTTTTTATGTTCCCGCTTCTTGGGATCATTCATTTAGTAACACTGTATATTAAATTAAAATACTTAACATGATATTAAAATAAGTTTTACGTACGATAATGGTTATGGCATTTAGATTGAAAAAAAAACAATATATAATTCATCAAAACTTTCTAAAAAATTAAAGCAGTACATTTTTATTTATTCCTTTATTATTTTATCATATTTTTTAATTTTTTTTTAAATTTATTTTTGGCTGCTGCACTACAAAACATTTTTTAGGATCTTAACCAATTCCGTCTACAATTGAAATTTCAATGGAATGAAAGTTAAATGGTTACAAGGTGAATTATTTCGAACATATTTACGTTTCTGCCCTATTCGAAATTTTTTGAAAATATTTTTTTTATTTATCGGTCCAAAATTTATTCCAGATATTCCAGTTTTACTCAAAGGCATATTTCTATAGAGTTTATATTTTACACTCTTCATCTTATTTACTTATTTATTTTTTTATTATTTTTATTTATTATTATTTATATTTTTGGCTTAAATGACTCAAGTTATTTGATTGAATGCATGATGGGAAAAGAGGCTTTTTACTGCTTTTCCTCATCTTTCTTGCCGCTCTTAACAAAATAAATGAATAAGTTTAATTTCTAATAATTTTAATTGTTTCTAACTATTTCAAACAATTAAATGTTACGATCAAACAAACTTCAATACTGAGGTTAATGAAAGTATTGTTACGTTTTAATTGAGCGTAAATGAAACATTATCATTCTTGCTCTTTTCGGCGAAATATAAGAACAATTTCTATTTATAATTTCTAAAAAAAGAGTATATTAAAACTATTTGCTGAACATACTAAACATACTAATAAAGTAATTTATTATCCAAAACTGTCGACAAAATGGTAGCGTAAAGATTAATATTTGATTTTGAGAAACATTAAAATATAATTAAATAGTTGGCAAAACGGTTCTGCGAAACACGAACGGCCAGGTAATTAAAAAATTTATTTTAAGATGAAGACGATATACAAGATATTAAGAAATAATAACATGATTAAAAATGCTGGCTACGTATTCGTATTAATAATTATTAAATATAAATTGAATAAATTGATAAATATATTTTTCTGAGTCTATGCATACGTATCTATATTATTGAAATCGTATCAATCATTGAAAGAATAAACTAAAAAATAAAATTAAAAAAAGCTAATGTATAATCACATTCTATCAGAAATGTGCTTTTATAAAACCCGACATTCGTTGAATAAAATCGTTGTTTTTTGTTCAATGAAGTTTTTTATTAAAATCTCTTTACTAAATAACGAATAAATTAACAGACGACTTGAAATAAACATCGTATTTTATAATTTAAAAAAAGATTAGCAATCGGTTATTAGCGAAAAAAATATCAAGAAATTTCACGTTGTGCATGGTAAGTCCCTCGTAAGTTAACCACAGTTAAATATTAATCGCCTCATTTAAGTATTTTTTCATTGTTGCTAAATTAATTTTTAAAAATAATTTCAATTTTTCTCAGCTTCTAGTAGATAAAAGCAGATGAAACTTTCAATCGAAAAAAATGTAGATTAATATGGTATAAAAAATGTATACCTCATAATTCAAAATTTTTTCATCCACAATTAAATAATAAATTATTATAAAAATTTTTTAAAATATGACTAATTTTAAAAATGTGACTAATTTTGAAATTGTGGTCTGCTTCACAATTTGAAATACAATATATTCATACTTATTACCTGTAAACGTGGTCTGGAAAGAAGAAGGGTAACTTCAGGTTCTTTACTAGAAAAAAGAGAGACTGCTTGTTCTCGATTACGAACATCCACTCCGTTTACCTGGAAAAGAATTAAAATTGTAAGTAAAGCTCAATCGTATAGAGCGCTACCTAAATAATTTTTGATTTAATGATCAGATTTTCACGTAATAGGACGAGATCTTAATGGTTTAACGATATTTTAAGTTACAAACCCAAGCACAAAAACATATTTCTCTAAATAAACATGACTCTGTTTTATTACAGATATGGATTTATGACCCTCAAAATTGCCGCTATGTCGAAAATATTGTTACAATAAGAAAGCGAAAGTTCCTTAATGTTAATTCCTTTTCATTAATTCCACCATATCTGAAGAACTTTTTAAGTGATTCGAGAAATGTTTGCCTACTATATTAATTTTTGAAGCTGTTAGCTTATAGAAGTGCTTGCTCAAAAATTTAAGGTATTTAAGACTTTTTCGGTTCACGTGAAATAGCATTGAAAAAAATGAAAGAGACATAGACAAAGCAACGGCATTATTCAGGCTGTAAAGGAAGGTAGAAATACACCACAGACTGGGCCTAATGAACCACTTAATATGAAAGCATTTAAATTGAATGTAAAGTCAGGTTAAAGATGGATGCGCCCAAAATAGAATGACGTATATGAGCACGATTTTTAGTGACAAAGTGATATTTATCGTCGAATGGTGTTTGTTTATGATAAGTTTTTTCAGGATGAAGTACTATAAATAAACAGCGATTAAGTTTTCGTGAAGGGTGGGCTTAAATAATGAAGCTGTCAAGACCAGGGCAAAGAAAACATCATGATATCCGATAAACACACCGCTGCTATTAATGAAATGAATAGAGGTAATCGAAGAGTTTTGACATTTGTGCAACACTTTAAGCAAAAGAAACAATGCGATTACCTTTTACCACTCAAAGTTGTACAGCTGGGCACTGTTCTGCTCTGAACTCATCATTTTTAGCTCAACTTTACATTAATTTTAAATGCTGCTATGTGGAACTGTGAATCAGATATACACAATCTGTGGTGCACTCCGCCTACCTACCTTTAGAAACGTGTATGGTGGCCCTGCTATCGCCGTTGTATCTCTAACGCTATCAAACACGTCGTATTTTTATTTTGTCAGCCTTATAATTATGTAATGATAAATAATTTTACATGCCTGAAGTAACTGATCTCCTTCCATAATTCTTCCATCTTTAGCTGCCAAACTATCAGGTTCAATCTGGAAAAAAAATTGATGTTAAAATATTTTACCAGTTAGTATAAAAATCAAATAGCCTTATAAATCATAACTCAGATAAGTAAAAGTTCTTATAAAACAAAATACTCATGCTCATTGGAGCAATAGCCAATTAGACATCTTTCCATTTTGTGACGTAGCGAATTTAACTGTTAATCGAGCCTACCGCCACGTAACGTAAATATTTGCCTCAACTTAGACCAAAATCTAAAATACGGGTTTTGAAGCTTGCTTATTTCTCTTCAAGCGAATTTGTTACATAACAGAACCTGTTGAACTTTTCTGGTTTCGAATAACAGCAAAACTTAAGGCAAATATTTACAAGGAAACAGTTAAAACTCCCAATCCCAGTCGTCTATTACACAACAATTTTCACTTTAACCTTTATGCCTACGGTTTTGTAGGAATACTCCATGAAGTTTTTTTTGTTAAAGAAAAACCTCATGCTACATACAAAAAAAACCTCATGCTTTCCAACCATGAGGTTTATTCATGAAAATGATTTGTTAAGTAACGTCGTTTAGTCGATTCGAAAACATTATAAGTTTAAGAAATTTGAAGGCGGCAATTGAAACGTTCTACGTTCATTATTTAAAATACCTTTCAAATAGATAATTGATGATTGTTGTTCTAGCAAAGAATTTATGAAATGTGCTCACTCTGTATACTTCATGCCTTTGGCTGCCATTGAAAAAATCTCATGAGCTGTTATTTCTAATTAAACAATGAAAATATTGAAAGTAACAAAAAGAGAAATCAAATAATAGTTTCAAGATACAATAGCTAGAGGTTAGGAATCAACCATAGATTATTGGGCATCCCCACTTTTTTTTCGGGGGGGGGGGCTGGCTGTGCATGCGAGTTTGAACATAACGGTTCCTCAGAAACGTGAGGAAGGAAGGTTAAATCAAGAATTATGAAAGATAATTTTTGATCAATCAGTTCAAATCATTTCAAGTTATGAAAGTGATTTTTAGTCAAGATTCCTTATTTTATTGCGAGAGCTATAATTTTTCTCTTCTTTTACCGAAAAACAATTCTAAATATTTCTATTTGCCTACCTATTTTTACCCTTTCTTATTTAAAAATCAATTTACAATGCATAGAAGCTTACAGGTTTACGAATTAATTATTAATAAAACTTATGCAACCAGATTTAAAACTTTCCATAGTGAAAATTTTTTCCTCATTATCAACTACTATAATGGAATCGCAGTTTAAAAAGAGAAATGTAAGGTTATATATAGATGGTTAATTTCAAAATTTATTAATTTGCTAATTTAGCGCAATTGTTTCAAACTTAGCACATTAACCATCAATTTCTTATTCCGAGCAGATCAGACTAAAAAAAAATTTTAATAAAAGAAAAATAAGAGTGCAAAGGGAAAGTTAGTAATATATTAAGTTCCCTGCATACATTCCGCTTCACTATAAACCACCGGAAAGTCGTACCCGGCCTTTACTACGCCCGTTTCATGAGTATCTGTACAATCCTCAATTGTTATGTTGTGCCTTATCTACCCTCTAAGTTAGTAATCGTTGTACTGTAGTAGTAGTACTTTATTTACGCAGTTCCACAAGGGGCAACGTTCTGGGAGTTTAATGAGGACAAACACCGTGCACCCACGGTAGGCTGATGAAACCACTGCCAGTGAAGCTTTGGTGATCTACTGGGAATCGTGTCTTACGATCAGTTAATTGTGGAACTGTATTTTAAATCAAAAGAGTATTATGATTTAAAAATCAAACTAAGAACAAAGATTTTGATAAAGAATAATACCTCACTGACAAAGATATTGGTTTCTGGTTCATCAGGATTAGCATAACAAAGTGTGAGACCAAGCTTCTCTTCACAGTGGCTTTTGTAGAGTGTTACTTCCTAGAACAACAATTTACGTTATTAGCAATGTCTTAATATGGACGCTTTGCAGAAATTTCTTAGCTTCAAAATATAATTCTTAGAATGAATTTACACGACAAGACATTCACTTTTGTTTCTGGTTATAGTTTAAAAATGTCTCAACATTTGGTATGTCAGATAAATTCAAAGAAAAGTAACTCATAATCACAACAAACTTTTCCTTTTAATAAATCAAAATAACATTAAAGTTTTTTCGAAACTTGCACTATCAGTTTATCTACCTCTGCTAGATATCTGGATTGTTAATTCAATGTCCCGATTTGATGCCTCTTTTGATGGGGGTGAGAGAAAGCATGGGGAATTCTAGCTCAATCGCAATTTTGCACTCTTAATTCTTGCCGATAAAAATAAAATCAGCCAAATTTTATATCGTAAAATAAATAACAATTAACATTTTCCTTTAATAATGCAAGTATTCGGGAAAATAATTACTTATAAACCGATTACGTTTTTTTTCCAATTAAAACGATTCGGCAATTTTAAAATAATTTTTTAGGAGTGCAATAGTCACGTTTGTTGACCTTAATGCTAAGCGTAAGCCTCACCTGGATTTAATAAGCGAAACCTATAGAGATCAGTGGATTAGTCGCAATCAAATTTCGAAACGTGACATGACTTTTTCTTTGATTTATGGGTTTACTATCCACAGCACCATCTGTCGAAAAGTTCTTGAACTAGAACAAGAAATTCAGAAAGAAAATGTTTATGATCTGCAACATTTTGCTGCAATTTTTTTACAACCTTAGTTGTTTTTCCAGTTAGGAATTTTTAAAACCATCAGCCTAATTTGACTTTTTAATATGAAATCTATTTATAAAGAACAGCGTTCTATAATCATTGCCTTAAATATATGCAAATTTTTTAAAAAATTTTTTCAGGAGTGAAGAAATCTTTCTAGAGCTTAAAATTTTTATATCCTTATCAGAATGCTACATAGTTCAAAAAGATTTCCTAATCAGTTGGCAGAATCAGCATACAGTGGCAAACTTCAGCGGAGCTGACATCCCTGACGAAAGGATTAATATGTAATTTTAGAATCTTTAGGTAATATTTAGGTAAGATAATATTTATATAATAGTAATGTTTAGGTAAGTATGGTAAAAAAAAAGGTTATCGAAGACTGTCAAAACACTAGTGAGAAAGCCGGGATTAAAAGCTTCAAAATTAGTCATTAAAGAATCCCCTTTGAATTTTTTTCAATTTCCTTCGATAATCAAAAAGCTTTTGATGTTTAAATCTTAAATAGAAATTCGTTAAATTTCAATAACATTTTTGTTTTTCCTTCTTTGAATTGCAATCCTTAATAAGCATATTTTTTGCACTTCATTTTGACAAGGATTTTAGAAATAAGTATTAAGAGCGGTTCTTGAGGAACACTTACAACACTTGCACATTGTGTAAAAACGGTGGCAAAGGTACCTTTCTTGGAATCGCATGTTTAATCGTTGAAAGTTGCGTATACAGAAGCTTGTAAATATTCTCCCGACTAAAGCATTGGAGCATATTTTTCAGATTGCAGATACCCCCCCTCTCTGTATTAACTCACCCCTTACACAAAAAAAGAGAAAAAATAACAGAAACATGTACGTCTTGCAGGACTGCTAACTGCTACACTGTTTGCAAAATATTTTATAGAATGTGTTAGACAAGTAAAAATTAAAGCTTTCAGAATTTTTTGTAATTTTGAAACATTTAAACATTTTAAAAGCCACGAAAGAGCTGGAGTAAAGTGGCTTTTTTCAGAAACTTATGAATCATTTGCAAGTAGTAGTGTGAATAACTTTTGCCAGTCGTCGGCAACCTATGTTATGACCCGCACATCAATTAGGTGCTTTATTTAAGGTACATTGGATTATTCCGTCTGTAAAATGATTTTGTTTTCTGTATTCTAAGTAGAGATGCTAACTTGCTCCGGACAGTAAATATATATTTTAAAGGGGCAGTTTTTGAATTGTGATTCTCGGTTTAATAATTTCAATTTAGTAGATTTTAATCCACCACTATTTCTAAATAATTCATAGGCTTATATAATTTACCACTTTATAGCACTTATGTCATGCTATATCTTTTAAAAAGCAAGGAAAAATAATCAAATTTTTGCAAAATTTACTTTATGTTATTTGCCGTTTCTTTTTCTTATTATTTTGGCGTGTCCGGAGCAGTTGGCATCTCTGTCTAAGGTATGCATATTCTATAATAGAAGTTAGGTGATCCACCAGCAAACATTTTTGGAAAAAGGAATTAAAAATCAGTGATTTGGAAAAAAAACTGTTCCATGCCAATTATGAAAATGTCACAAAATGTCATCTGAAAAGAATCTATGAAAAGCATTTGTGAACTAATTTCTAAATATGTAAAAGCTTACTCTCATCTGCATTGTTTAGACTCTTAAAAAAGAACCATTAGTTTTGGCGACATTCTTCCATTTAGATGAAAAACATTAAAATGAATAAGCTTTAATTTTTGTATATTTNTTATCTGGGCACATAAAAATTTGCAAAAACTGAGAATAAGGCAGTTATTTCGATGTTTTTCATCTAAATGGAAAAATGTCGCCAAAACTAATGGTTCTCTTTTTTAAAAGTTAATTATTATTGAGTGCGTTTAATAGTCTAAATAGTATATCGTCGGTTATCTTTTTAATCTTTACACATCACAGCTCAAAATGCTTGTTTAGGAAAGTGGACGCAGCTAAAAAGACGTGCTGGAGAAAATGGACCCAGCAAAATCGTATTTAAATAAATGAACATAGCATTTGGTTTAGTTTTTCAAACTTCTCTTATGGAAAGTGTTCTTTTCTTTAAAAATTTAGCTAATGGATTAAAATGAATTCGCCATGTTATGTGCACTTGCCTAAATCACTTAGTTAATTTTTTTTTTAAAAAAAATTAGTCTTTCTTTCAAAAAACTTCATTGTCAACAATTGTTTCTGCCAGGTTGCCATTGGTCCTATAAATTGATATTATTATTAAATTTATATTAAACACTTTATCGTTAAGTATTCTGAATGCGAGGAGATCACCGATAAAATTAAATTTTTAATATACCCAACCACTCCGGACTTTGCCCGTAATGATAATGCTTAGTGTTTAAAAAAGTAAGCACGTTTAGTTGTTAAATTTATGTTGAAAATTAAAGAGAGGTATTTTTTTTTCTGTGTCTATTTTCTTAAACACGAATTTTGAGCTGTGCTCACAATAAAAAGTCCACTGACGATATAAAGTTGAGTTGGTAGAAGAACTAAACTAATTACTTCATATTCCAATTGTACAATTTCTTCATCATGGGCAGCGAATGCTTCTTCTAATGTCTCATAATGATGTTCAACATGATCATCAAATAAAATTGCAGATGATTGCATTAAGTTATTTTGACTGAATGGAAATAATCCTATAGGTGGTGATTCCCAACCTCCTGTCCACTCAGTTTGTGTCCAACTATCACAATAAGTCGAAGAATCGGTTTCCATGCCGACCCGAGAGACGGGAGGCTGAAAAACCGACTTTAAAGCCGGAACGATTGCTTCTTTTGTTGGACGAAATGCTTCCTCTTCTTCTTGGATTTTTGAAGACTCTTTTTCATTTATCTGTAACAAACATAAATATACTTTATTTAATTAAAAAAATATATAATTTACAAGATATAAGCCAGTGTATCCCAAAAGGTTCCTAGACCTAGGGTTCCTAGACATAAAGACCTAGGATCTAGGGTTCGTTTTTTAAACCTATGTTTGTATCCAACTAATATAGTTACAAATTCAATGCAAAATAGGGGGATAATTTTTCGTTTTCTGTTGTATGAGAAACAGATCTTAGATATTCTTGTATCGCTGATTTCAAATCTGCAATCGCTTTCTCTTTCTAAGCTATTTTTATTTTGAATGATATTTTTAATCTTTTTTGTCCAAATGTTTATTACACTATATATAAAAGGTGTTTCGTAAATGCTGCGACGAACTTCTAGGGGGAGTTAGGGCTAACCGGAAATATCATCGCACAATTCTAGGGGCTCTATTATGAACTGTTTCTACGCGTTTCTAAACAGGTCTTAATAAAGAAGCGCGCCTAGTCACTTACGACAAAATTTCTGGGAATGAGTTCGTATGTAATTTTAAATCCGATGATGTGTTTTAACTTTCTTAGAAAATTGTCGCAGTATTTACGCGATCCCTTGTTATTCATAAAGTTTTTAAACTTGTACATTTCGACAATGCCAAAAATGTCATTTTTAAAAAATCTTTAGCTTTAGGAGTAAAACTAATTTCAGATTTGAAATGCTTACACCCTAATTAGGCAAGATCAAGCAGTTGCATAAATGGAACAAACAATTTGTTACCCAGTGTAATCCATAATCTCTTTCATTCTTATTTTTCATTTATATTAAATAAATATATAATTATTGAAAAAGAAATATTTTTTAAAAATTTTGCCAGATTTTTTCGCTATTATTTTACATGAATAATTTCTTAAAAATAATCAAAAAATTAAATAGATTATGAATTACACTTGGTAACAAATTTAAATAAATTATGAAAAGAATATGCATAAGTATTTCGCCTCAATTCAAAGTAACTAAAATCAAAAAACTGTTTTTTTCGAAAACCATAATTCGGCTAACTTTATATAATTTTATTTTATGCAGACGCTAAAAACAAATTCAGAACTAGACGTTGCTCTAGAACTTTTAATTCAACGATCTGATATTAAACCTAATTCTAAGATTGTTATTTATAAGACAATATGATTCTTCATACTAAATGTAATTCTGTTTGTTTCGTATACTCGCAGCAGCTAATTAACTTTATTTATTCAGTCAGAGTTCCATTTAAAGAATCATTTAGAGCTCCATAGCTGAGTCTCAGCTATAAAATCCTAACGCAATAAGTACTGGATAAAACTGTAGGAGAAGAAATAAGATTTACTCATAATTATTTCCAATCCACTTTTTGTCAAACAAATCTAAACAAATTTTTATTACTTTCTAAACAAGGTTCCAATACAAGATTTAACAGTATTTCATTGTTCCGTATATAACAATGAAACACACCAAATTATGTGGGGGGAAAATTCCATTTTCTTTACTTGCGGACTATCTTATAAATTTTTATGTAAGCATTTTCAATCACGCTTTTGTTCTAAAACGCAATATAAAAAGAAGCATTCGGTCCGATAGGAGAAAATTTTAAAACATAGTTGTATTTACACAATATTTAATAATCGTATATTAAAAACATATAAAATTGCAAATGATTTGGGAGAAATTTTTAAAAACATAGTTGTGTAAATGTAATATTTAATAAGCATACAATAAAAATTTATGAGATTTCAAATGATTTGGGAAATTTTAAACATGATTGCATAAGCGTAATATTTAACAAACATATAATAAAAATATATGATATTGCAAATGATATGGAAGAAATTTATAAAAACACTGTATAAACGTAATATATAATAAGAGTATACAAAACTGCAAATGTTGCTGTTACAATTCGGTAGCAACTATTTAAGTTGTAATCCAGCAACAAATAAATCAATAAATCTCTTTTCTGGAACACTATAAAACATTGTCTTACATCTGCAAGTGTTTTATTGAACCCTAAACTAAAGTTAGTGAGGGGAAAAAAAAGCATTATTCAAATATTCAATATTTTTAATTTTGCTCTTGAGGATAGTGAGAACATTATTATTAAAATATATACAGGTGTCATTATTATTGCAAGAACAACAAGAAATAAAATTAATCTTAGAAATGAAGTTTATTCTTAATGATGAATTATGTTCATTTCTAAGTGAAGTGAGTATCCCATCAGCAACCTTAGTAGTATAACATATTTGAATAGCACCTTTCTGTGACATATTCGAAAGTATGTTTCATAACCTGTTCTGGAGGGTATTTTCTTAGTGGTAAAAGCATTTCTTTTTAATCTCAGTATTTAAATTAATCAATAATTCAAATATTTATATATACCATGGTAAGAATTTATATTTTAAGTCGTAACGTGAGCTTTACTATTCATATCTTGAGCTTATAAATTTAATTTAAGCAGATTTTGACTGATTTAGTCCAGCAGTTTAGAAGTTATATAAGTTTTTATGCAAAAAAGTACAGTTTTGTACAGCAAATACCTATTTCCAAGTGTCATTAAACACAAATAATGTATTGGATCACAAGCATTATTTGACGCTAAATCAAACGAAAGCAAAACCAAGTATGCATAAAATGTATGATTCCTTTCAGTGAGGTGAACTGGGTTTGATCGGCTGATCGATATGAATTCCGGCTTGAACCGACCACAGTTTTTCCTTTAACGGTAGGCTAACTGTGTGAGGTTTTCGTGATTTTCCTCCAAATGTAACGCAAATGCGGGTTGGTTCCAAAAAAAGTGCTCCACGAAGGAAAATTTCTTCCAGTACTTGATCCAGACGTTCCCTTGTTTTCTGGATTAGGTTCAAAGGCTACGGTTACGGAGTTGAACATTAATTAATAGCAGTAAACCCTAAATTGGGTCAACTGTTCACCTACTGTTATAAAATAAAATAAAAATGGATTGTCACATCAGTCCATTAATTATCATAGCAGTCTATTGTCATGTTCGGTGTAAACGTCATGTTTTAAAACTATTTTGTTAACAGTGTTTTTTGAAGGTTTTTGCCAATCCACAGTTTAAGTGCACTTGAAGCAAAACTATAATTTTTTACCATGAAGAATTATGTACGGTCAAATAATGACTAATTTGGGTGGATTTTCCCATCTACAATAGATAAAAATTATCAAAGAATAATTTTCGCAAATTTTTATGAGTATAGATAATACAGCGAAGGAATAACTTTTTAAATATTAAAATAATAATAACAAGCGCTTTCACTTAATTGCAGCCTTTCTTCATATAGACGTTTTCCGTTATTTTCAGAATTAACATAGATGGCTCTGTTTAAAGATAGGCTAAACTTAACCTAACAGTCTTGCATAACTGTTGCAAGCTCACAACTGTTATGAAAATAGTATATTATTGTATGGGAAGTCAAAGGTTATCGTAAAGCATGCTTCCATTTAATGCAACGCCAATATTTATATAAAAAAATTTATTGAAAATTATTATATTGCACAAAAAATTGGGTCAATTGTTCAACTACTGTTATAATAAAATCAATGCAAGTATTTTTATTGCATGTCATTCCCTTGTTTGATAATAAAATTAATGAAAGGAAATAAAATATGTTTCTTTTTGTGTACGCAAATTCTTTCTACTTTTACTAACACTTAGTAATATCTTTTCCGTGTAGGTATCTATTTGTTAACTACACACAGAATGAAGTAGAGAAACAATTTTATGTCTGATTCGGTAGCTTCATTTATCGTAAACATTAAGATTATTCGAGATTAACCCTTTGAACTATTAAGTTTAGTACTTAATACGTGAAAATGTGATCATTAAAACAAAAGTAATTTAGGATGATATCTTTTTGTTCTCTTTTAGCTAAATGTACACAAGATGTAGTTGCGAAACCAATTACCAAGAACAAAACAGCCGATTATGAAAAGTGTATGAAGCAAGCTGCGTTAACATCAACAAAAGCAGGAATTCTAAGTTCTATCACCAAAGCAAACGAAATAAAAAAATAAGCGAAGATGGAGAGGTTAAAAAGAATATGATGGTTATTTTTTCTCCAAATTTCTTTGTTGCAGCTTTGGTTTCTCTCACTTATCATCTTTAAAGAGAGTTTGGAAAACTTACAAAAACCCTTCTTTCTTTATGTATCAGATTCTGTTATTTTACTCGTTACATTATTTAATACTTTTTTTAAATATTTGGAGGTACTGTTACAAAGTGTCAAGATGAAACAAAAATATTTATTCTAGTGTACTGTAAGAAAAGTATAAAAAGAAATCTTTTAAAGCTTTACAAAAAAGATTTTAAATATCTGTTTTGAATTTTCATACGGATCATTGGAATAATGAATGAATAAAATAATAAAATGGTTTATGGTAATGGTTAATGCTTTCATTTTACTTACCTTTATTTTATTCGTTAAATTATTTAATGTTTTGTTTTCAAATATATAGAGGTACTGTTTCAAAATATCGGAATGAAACAAAAGGTATTTATTCTGGCGTAGTTTGTTTTTAAAGAAGAATATAAAGACAAAACTTTTAAGGCGTTGAAAAAGACAAGGTAAATATAAGTTTTGAATTTTCGCAAGAATCATTAAAATAACAAATGAGTAAAATGGTTTATGTTAATGGTTTCCCACATGTATGAGACATCTATTTTAAAATGTAGATCAGGATAAAGCAATTGTTATGGTGTTTAATATTAGTTATATCTACAGTACATGTGACCGATGTAAATTATTTGCAAATTTGTTAAGCTTAAGCACTGCATACAAACGTTAACAGGTCTGGAAAAGGTGTCCGAATAAGGGAAAATACATAGGTAGTACCAAAACATATTAAACACGTGAGCTCTAATGGTTATAATTTTGGTATATATAGACAATTTATGACAATAAATGTCCTAATAGGAGATAATACCAAGATAGTACTATTATAAAATTTTATACGCGAGCTCTCATTATTATAATC